TTCCTCCAAAAGGAATGAATTCATATTGTAGAGAATATTTCAAATGCCTTGCAGTTTCATTGAACACGTCGACAGAAAATCCCGAAAAAGTGTACTTATCTTTAGAAGAATCATAATCAACTTTCACAAATTTGTTTGTAATGGATCCATTGGGAACTCCGATTCTCAGAGGATTTTCAATTGTTGGAAGATCCCATCCTCTTGGAGCAGATGATCGCCCTCCAAGTCCAGGCCAATTCACATCTCCTATACTCTCCATGGATAAATTGTACACTCCATGATCTATAGTATGGGAGAATCCTAAATTCTCAGTCCAGAATCCCAATTCTCTATAATGCTTTCCAATGATATTGATTATCTGAAATTGAGTCGTGGGCTCTAATTTTTGCTGCGTAAACTGGATATTCCCACTTAAACCTTCGAAATCTGTTTTGAGAATGCTTTCCAAAAGTTGCTGGCCATTGCTGTTGGTACCTTCAATCATTGCTAATCCCACCATCCTCACGGCATCATAGGCCTGCAGTGCAAAGATTCCAGGCTCGTGATGCTTTTCCTCGGGGTACTTCCGGCCAAAGATCCCATAAAATCTTGTCAAAAAACTTTTGAAATCAGGTCCAGTCTCAAGAAAAGAGTTCCTCACACCTATGACACCTTGCATAGAGGAAATTAAGGAAAAATTCATTGAATGCACCGAACTTGTAATGGAATCAGTGGTAATCCATACATATTCCTTCTCCATCATGTTTTTTTCCTTAGCCATTCCAAAAATATGCATCGCGAGTTCTAACGAAGTATGCACAACAAACACTCTACATTGCTCTTTTTTCAGATTTTTGAGTTCTTTGTGCAACAAAGTGGAATCAGCAAAAGAAGGGAGGGGTAAAAGATTGCTTATTTCGACATCAACTGCTTGTAAAGCAACAAATAGATAAGGACTGATTCCACTAGCTGCAGAATCTGTGTCCTCATATATTACATTCACCCGGCGCCACCCCCACGATTGAATTATATTAGCCACTGCCGTCATTTGTAGGTGTGTCCCCGCCGCAGCTTGAACGAGGAACGGCCAACGCTTGGCAGCCCATGGTGGACTAGAATCGGCAAACGAAAGAATTGGCACATCATAGTGTTCACTAACCTCAGCAACATTGGATGTTTCCTCCCATGATCTTGGTCCAAGAATAACTTCCACCTTGTTCTTATTGATCAGATGTCTTGCTGCAAAGAAATTTCACAAAAGTTCATTGATTTCTACGGCTATTCTCAAACTTCTACTAAGTATTAACGGATCATTCGATGATTACCTGCAAGAGCTGACTGTAAAGGTTTCCGTTTAGAACATTTCAATCTCAGCATGAGAAATGTTTGTTTGTGCTGCATGTTGAAATCTTGAATGGCCATATCCATGGCTACTCTTTCTTCTTTGCCCACTCGAGTGTTACAATCCGATATGGCGCCGATAACATGCTTAACTCCATTAATGCATTCTGGTTTTGAGGCCAAGGCTACAAGAAAGAATAGGAGGAGAAGAAATGTTTTCATAATTAATTGTCACTGCTAAGATATGTGCAATGTCCCAATTCAATTTATAGCTTCCAATGTAATTGGAATTAATGAAATTTCAATTTTAATGAATAAACTAAATTAGAAATTTCCTGGTAAAGAAGATTGACAACGATTCTTTTCATCATGGTCAGATATTTTTTGGCAGAATTCATGAATCAATTCAAAAAATTGACCCAAGAAAGGTGCGTTTGAGACTTCGAGGTTGCCTTGACTTCTTAGATATGTGATGCAACTATTATTATTAAGGCTCGTTTGTTTTCCATTTTTATGAGAATGAGAATGAAAAATATAGTCGTTATGGATCTCACACAAGAGATAGAAATTCAAATTTGATTGTTTGATGTGATGAATAATGGTCATATTTTTCATTTTAATGAAAAAAGAATGAGAAACAAACGGGGACTTATTATAGTAATTAGCTTCCATTTTGCATCTCTTTTAAAAAATCAAAAGCTAATTCTTAGATAAAAATCTACTTTTGAATATCTTTATATAATTTTCTAAAAAATATTTCTATTCATAGTGAAAACTATCGATAGTCGTTCGACGTGTTTTGTCTAAAAGTGTTTTGTTTGATAAAAAGAACTTTTAGAATAAATTGATCTAATATATCTCTTCCACGAAAAGCAAAAACCTGTCAAATGGGCCCATAAATTTAATTGATAATTAATGAGGGGAGAAATATACATTTAATTAAAAGGTACAATTTCAAAATTATGAAATATGTTTTAAAGTTTCAAAACTCAAGTCATAATTAATTTTTATTAATTAAAAAGATAATTAAAATAATTATTAATTAAATATATTATAGTCACAATTACTTACTAGTTACAATCACAAATTACAAATATCATAGGTTACAAATTATCAAATTAATTGGTTACACATTATTTATTGATTACAAATCACAAATTTTATAAATCACAATTATCTATCGATGACAAATTATCAAATTAATAGGTCACAAATTATTTTTCGACCACAAATCATAAATTTTAAAAGTCACAACTTATATCACGGTCACAAATTATTAATATAATTTGTAATAAACTAATTCTTGATCATAAATTTTCTAATTAATTGATCATAAGCTAACAAATTATACAAATTTAGTCGCAATCTCAATATTTTTTCAGGTTATATATTATTTATTGATCACATATTGCCCTCGTTTAATTCTGATTTTTCATCCCAAAAATTCAATTTTTTGATTGTTACTTAACCTAGTCAACCATCATTTTTTACTTCTTCCCTCACATGTGGAGTTTACTTTTTTGTCTAATAATCAAAAAATTGATTCTCATAATCATTATCGAACAAGCGTCCATTATCTATTTTATATATCACGTATTATTTGTTAATCACAATCACCCAAAATTCCACGACCGTTCCCACCACTATTACCAACCGAACACTGCACCATCTCACCACCACAGCCACCTGCACCATCGGCACGGGCACACTTCTTCCCTCACATGTGGAGTTTACTTTTTTCTCTAATAATCAAAAAATTGATTCTCATAATCATTATCGAACAAGCGTCCATTATCTATTTTATATATCACGTATTATTTGTTAATCACAATCACCCAAAATTCCACGACCGTTCCCACCACTATTACCAACCGAACACTGCACCATCTCACCACCACAGCCACCTGCACCATCGGCACGGGCACGGGCACCTCATACTTTTCTCCACGAGTCAACTCAAAATAAACATTAATAGTCTTGAAATTAATTATTTCATAATTATCATTAACAAGACAAAATGGTCTCTAATTTTAATTAATTTGTCAATTTATATAAGACTCCCAATAACTTGTTTGACTGATCATTTCCTAACAACTATATTGACCATTTAATTAATTAAATTATGACTTAAAATCATATCAAATTGTTAATTATAATTTATTGTTGTCTTGATTAATGACTGACTTGAGTTCTGTCTCTTGACTCTTTCAATTTCACCAAATTCTTTGCATGCATACCATGCCAAGTCTCTCTCTTCCTTAATCCCTTTTTTTTTTTTGGTAGGGATTAATAATATATTAATTTAAGTAATTTTCTAGTTCAATTTCTAGTCTTGGTGAATTGAACAACCTAAGGAATGTGTTACTGTAAATATTAATTAATTAGTGATATTAAATCCTTGATTCACGACATTGTGAGAAACATAGTAGCTTGATTAGGTAAAAGATTCTTAATCACTTAATTAAGGCTTAATGTGCCGACCAATTAATTTGAAATGAAGACTTTCAAAGTCAAGTTAAAATAATATTTTAATTGCAATATATATTATCTACCTTCTAGAAATAGAAGTGTTACTGGATTGAGTCGAGTTAACTCTTTACTTAGACACTTTGAATTTGGCTCATATCCACAAACTAGGCTCAATTTGATCCTTTGTAATGCAGTACAAAAAGAAGACTTACAGTTTCATGGAAAAGTGAATGTATCCACATGGCTTTTGTGAAAGGCTTCACAAACTTCACAAACAGCAAAGCTTTGCTTGAATGCCATAGAATTGGCACTACTATTACTAGTCCTGCCTCAGTATGAGCGTGCATGAATTCTATATATTCACTTCGGTTGGATATTATGGCGACGTCACCAATGGCTGCATCAAATGTTTGGCAATTACTACACCTTGCAAGAATAAATTCAATAATCCAAGCAATTAACTAGAGTGATTAAGTATGAAAATAAAGGATCGGAGAAAAACAAGAAAATATAATACCAAATTTTGCGTGGAAAAAACCTTCCAGTGTAGAGGGAAAAAAATCATCGGACAACTCCGGCCATATAAATTGCTGCATAAAACTTACACTAAACATCTAATGGCTTATAATAAATGATAATAGACATTTTTTTTAAAGTAGTATAATAAATTATAAGAAAATTTAAAAGATTTTTCATTCAATTTGGCGTCTTGTCTATCAAGAAATTCCTTTTCATAAAATGGTTGACCATTTCATATTGTATCATAACTTTCATTACCATAATATTTATTAACATGAAGAAATAACTTAAATGGGGCAAACCACTTGCACCTAAATATCCTACCGTGCTAGATCAAATAATTTGGAAGACAAAACCAAAATCAGGTTTCAAATCCTTATTTGCTACTTGTCTACTGTGTATATGTGTTTCTGTATATTGGGTGAAAATAATGAAACCTCATGTACGTTATTAAGTTGGGAAAAAGACAGATGACTTTTAGTAGAATAAAATAACGAGAGCCGTGTTAAACCAAGCAAGTCCTCACCAAGAATGTACTATTTTATCTTCGTCTTTCCAAGTCAAAATTCTACTTTATCTATATCTATCCATATACTTGGCAACAACCCTTTATAAAGTCAAGAAAAAAATATATTCTATTAAAATCTATTAAAACAACCTACATATTACGCAGTCCATGCATGACTGGAAATAAAGTTTTAAAATAATAATTAACCTCAATAAAATAAAATTTAAGGGTAAAATCTCTCAACCTCAATAAATTGAGTTTCGATTATCTGAATTAATTTTTTCACAAGTCTAATATAAATGATTAAATACGAGCTATCATTGCTCTATGAAAATATAATTATTTGACCCAAAATTATAAGATTTCAATGCATATATCACTTTAAACCCCAACTTTCCAAAGTAATAAAAATGTAGCATATAGAACAAGAAATTCTATTCTTACAATCTCCACTCCTAAAAATATTTTCATTCTCGAAAATTTGCCTTAGCTAATCGAAAAGTTCTGGATACTGGGTTTTAAGCTCCTCTTCATTTTCCCAAATTGACTCGTTAAGTCCATGATTTCGCCATTGAATCTTGACCAAGGGTACCTCTCTACTTTTTAATTAGTGCACTTTTCTATCCAAAACCATCGTTAGGATTTCTTCATATGATAAGTCTTTTTGTACCTCCAATGTCTGATAATCCATCACATGATTGGGTTCATGAACATATTTTCTGAGCATCAAAATATATAACACATTATGAATTGCTGCGAGTTCAGGTGGTAAGGCAAGTCGGTAAGACACGCTACCAATCATTTCAAGAATTTTGAAAGGTCCAATAAACCATGGTCTAAACTTTCCATTCTTACCAAATCTCAGTACATCCTTCATTGGTGCAACTTTCAGAAAAACTTTATTGCCAATTTCAAATTTCTAATCCTTTCTTCTACAATCGGCATAACTTTTTTGTCAGTCTTGTGCTGTCTTTATTCTTGCTATAATTTTGTTAACTACCCCATCTGTTCGTTCAATGATTTCAGGGTCCAAAATTCTATTCTCTTTGACCTCGTCCCAATGGATAGGAAATCTGTACTTCCTATTATAAAGAGCCTAAAATTGGGCCATGCCAATAGTAGCCTGAAAACTATTGTAGTAAGCAAATTCCACTAACAGTAGATGTGTCTCCCAATTACTGTCAAAATCCAAAACACATGCCTTCAACATATCTTCAAGAGTTTGAATGATTCTTTCTGATTGTCCATCCGTTTGTGGATGATAAGCAGCACTAAACTTTAGTTTCATCCCCATGGCTGCCTGTAAGCTTTTCCAAAATTTCAATGTAGACCTCGAGTCTTTATCTAAAACAATGGTGACTGAAACTCCCTGCAATCTGACTCTCTCTGATATATAACTGTGCGAGCATTTCCATAATGAAATTTACTTTGATTGATAGAAAATGAGCTGACTTCGTCAAACAATCAACCTCTATCCAAATAACATTATGACCTCTTATTGATCTCGGAAAGCCTACCACAAAGTCCATCTCTATGTGTTCCAATTTTCATTCTAGGATATCTAATGGTTTTAGGAGTGCAATGGCCTTTG